GCCCACTCTGGTTTCTGTGCTTCCTAGCAAGAGAGGTTATATTTTCTCAGAAACTCTTACTCTTCTTCTGAAATACCAGTCTGGCTGCTTGAGTATTGTCACGCACCATTAATTCTTCTGTTTCACTTCCAGAAAGTGTTTTATCCATCTTCAAATAAGTTTTCCAGACAACTTTCAGCTACTGGAATGTTCCGGAGTAATACTTTTAATGTCGGCTTGGATAAGAGCTTGGTGACAGGTCCTGACAATTACATCACACACTGTGACCGCCTTAACTTTCACCCCAGCTACAATGTCAACAGGCCTTCCATCTGTGACTAAGGGAGCTGGATGCCCGTCCCCGTGGGCGGGGTCTCCTGACTCAGTGTGGCTGTGGGGAGCATTGCTGCCCTGATCCTTGACAAGAGCCCAGTTCTAAAGGCACGGTTCTCACCGCTTTCTCAGAAAAGACTTTTCCTTCCTGGAGGAGAAAATATGCGAATGGGCCCATAATGTCTTTCTGTATTTTACACAGGGAAGATGCTGATGGCTGGGTTTTTTATTAAAAAAGTTGTCACAGCCTCAATTTCCGACTTGTCTCATATTTGTCCCAGAGCGGCAGGGAACTGCACATCTTGGAACACAAATCTTGGCCCGAAATGCAGAGTGAGCCAAGGAGTGCCACAAAGTGTCTTTCTTTGAGAGCTGTTGCCATGTGTCTGACAATACTAGGCTAGCGACTGCACAGACCCTAGAAGGTTCTCAGAGAGTGTGGGGTGCCCCAACTAGTAGTACAAATGTCAGGTGAGCACTCTCCAGTCACAGTGAGGGTCGGGGGAGGGACATATGCCAGAGGTTGGAGGTCTCCCATCCAAGTACCATTCAGTCTAACCTCACTTTGCTCCCTAGATTGGAAATACTCAGTTTATACAAAGGCTCTCTCAGGTCATTTATTTTATTTTAAGTTTTTCTAAAGTGTGTGTATGTGTGTGTGTGTGTGTGTGTGTGTGTGTGTGTGTGTGCGCGTGCGTGCGCACACACACACCTGGGGAGTCCAGAAGAGGACGTCAGATTTCCTGGAGCTACAGGAGCTGTGAACTGTGTCCCATCTGGATACTGGGACCTGCACTCCTTTATAAGAGTAGTATTTGGGAGAGGAAGGGAGGGGAGCGGAGAAAAACATATCGCTCAACAAAAACAATAAAAAAGAGTAGTTTGTGTTTTCAGTCGCTGAGCCATCTCTCCAGCTCTTGTTTTCTTTCCCTTTTGTTCTTCCTGGCAGCAAGCACCTTACCCTGCTAGCCATCTTGTTGATCCAGATTAGTTTTAAAAATCCATGTGTGCTCCTGCACCTGGGTGTACATATACAAGGGTGTACTCTGCCATGTGTGTATGTGCGGAGGCCAGAGGTTGACATTAGATGTCTTCCTTTCTTGCTCTCCACTGTGTGTTTTTGGGTCAGGGTCCCTCACTGAACCTGGAGCCTGATGTGTTGGGTAGGCTAACTGGCCAGTGAACCCCGGGGATCCACTGGTATCTGCCCTTTAATGCCAGGGTTATATGTGTGTGTCCCTGTTCCAAGCTCAGGTCCCCACTGAGTCATCTCTCTTCTCCTGATTTTTTTTTTGGAAACAGAGTTTCTCTATATAGTCCCAACTGTCCTGGAACTCACTTTGTAGACCAGTCTGGCCTTGAACTCTCAGAGATCCACCTGCTTCCAAAGGGCTGAGATTAAAGACTTACACCATCATTGCCCAACCTAATTATTATTATTATTATTATTATTTATTAATTTTTAAAAACTTCATTCCCGGGGCTGGAGAGATGACTCAGTGGTTAAGAGCATTGCCTGCGCTTCCAAAAGTTCTGAGTTCAATTCCCGGCAACCACATGGTGGCTCACAACCATCTGTAATGAGGTCTGGTGCCCTCTTCTGGTCTGCAGACAGAATATTGTATACATAATAAATAAATAAAAATAAAAAAAAACCCCTTCATTCCTACGTATGAGGTGTTCTTACTACAGGGAATTTGGGAAGTGTTGAGATCAGAAAGAAGGAATCCTTACACACTGTCATTAATGCTTCAGAAACTTGTTCACAGAAACTAAGTGCCCTCTTTTTTCCTACGGTTTTATTAATGCCCAAAGTAAACATTTGGCAACAATCTTAATGTCTAATTTGGAGTGGTAATGCTTTCTAGAAAAAAAATCTATTGGCTTAATTAAAAGGCTATGAGCCAAGCTGAAGCCAAAATCTACAGACAGCTCTTCTGAGATAGAAAACCAGCAGGCTGGGTGTCCAACTGAAAAGTTTTGTTTGTTTGCTTTGTTGTTGTTGTTTTCGAGATAGGGTTTCTCTGTGTAGCCCCAACTGTCCTGAAACTCACTCTGTAGACCAGGCTGGCATCAAACACATGTAGATCTGCCCGCCTCTGTCTCCCAAGTGCTGGGACTAAAGGCGTGTGCCACCACTCCTGGTATTTTTATAAGATTTATTTAGGGATATCAGGAGTAGTGATCCTAGGCTGAGACAGAGGCAAAGGCACAGAGCTTTGTGAGTTTGAGACTAGCCTGGTCTATATAACCAGTTCTAGGATGTCTACATAGAGACACCCTGTCTCCAAAAAGAATTATTTTTATTTAGGGTCTGGAGAGATAGCTCATTGGTTAAGGGAACTGGCTATTCCTTCAGAGGACATGGATTAATTCCCAGCACCCACATGTTGAGTCACCATTGTCTGTAACTCCAGCTCTAGGGCCTCTGAGGACACCATGTGGTGCACAGACATACATGCAGACAAAAAAAAACATATACACGTATGTATTAGGATTCTCTAGAGTCACAGAATTTCTGGGATGTCTCTCTCTAAATATAAAAAGGTGATTCATTGGCATAATTTACAGGCTACAGTCCAACAATGGCTAGTTGGGAATGGAAAGTCCAAGAACCTAGTAGTTGCTCAGTCCCACAAGGCTGGGTGTCTCAGCTGGTCTTTTGCATGTACTGGAATCCTGAAGGATTAGGCTCCAATGCCAGCGAAGGAAAAGGTGTGCTAGCAAGTCGATGGCAAGTACGTGAAGAACAAAAGCGTTCTTCCATGTCCTTAAATAGGCTTCCAGCAGACGGTGTGGCCCAGATTAGAGGTGGGCCATCCCAGTCAAGATCCTGATCAAAGATGTGTGTCTTCCTACATCAAAGGTCCAGCCAAACTAGAAGTGGATTCACTCACTTTAAACTGAGCAAAAATAATCTCTCGCCGGTGTGTCCTCTATTTCTGGATTGTAGTTCATTCCAGATGTAGTCAAGTTGACAAGAACAACTCTCGCGGCATAAACAAATTTTAAACTTATTATTTGTGTACATGTGCATGCCTTTATGAGTTTGCATGTGCAGGTGCCTGAAGAGCACAGAAGAGGAGCCCCTGCAGCTGGAGTTACAGGAACTTGTGAGCCATCATCGAATGTGGGTGTTGGGAACTGAACCTGGGTCCTCAGCAAGAGCAGTATTGCTCTTAACTGCTGAGCCATCTCTCTAGTCCCCGAATTAATCAGTCTGTGACTTGTTGAGACAGGGTCTCACTATGTAGCCCAGGCTGGCCCTGACTCACAGAGATCCACTTAACTCTGCCTCCCCAAGTGCTGGGATTAAAGGTGTGCACCACCGTATCTTGCTGAAAATAGGTTAACAATCATTAAAACTATTCTTTAAATGCCCACTGACCTCCCTGTATTTAGCCTCTCCCCTTTCCACAAAACTGAAGATGACCTTGAACTTCTGACAGGCATACACTACCACAGTTTATGTGGTGCTGGGGATCAAACTCAGCCAAGCTACATCCTCAGTCCCCCTCTACCTTCTGTTGAAAGAAAAAAAAGCCCCAGCGACCAAGTGCTGATAAGAAGGAATGGCTTCACAGCAGCCATCCTGAAGAGTGTGGACAATGCCACCATAGGAAGAACCAGAGGCTGAGTGGAGCCCAGAGTGGCTAAGCTCCTGTCCTGCCATGTGATGAGGCAGATTTGTCTCAGCAACCAGCACATCTGAGAAAAACTGGGATGGACAGTCCCCACTTCCAAATCCAGGGCTAATATGGGGCCTGGGCCAGAATTGTCGGCTGGCAAACAAAATGTGGGTTGGCACAGGGATCGCTTGCCTGCGGGCTGTGTGGGTTTCATTCTGGCACTGCAGTTGGGCACTGAATTGCTTTAATTGGCCATGTCCAATAAAATGCTTTTTCTGGGAGAGCTGATGAGAGTACAAAGGTAGACACCGCATGTTAAACAGAGGAAGTGTCTGGAAAGACAAAAAGCCCAAATACCTCTGACAGTCTTACTCCATTTCCTGTTGGCAGAACAAATTATCATAGGCTTGTAGTTTATAGAGAATGGAGGTTTATTTGCCTTAGGGTTCTGCAGCCTATGAATTCCGTATCAAGGACCTGGTATCTCCCGGGCATTTGCGAGGCCCTCACTTAGGCTCAGAACATGCAGAGGGAACACATAACAAGGCAGAGCAAGCTGGCCAGATCAGGCTTCTCACAGAACCACTAGCGCCACCACAGGGGCCTTTATCCTGTTTCCGGACTGTGGGTGTTGTGTGACCACCTGGCCTTGCCTGCTGTGACGGACTGAACCAGAGTCAACCCTGACGTTGCTTTTGTCAAGAGGATTTTATCATGTTGTCAAGAGTATTTTGTCACGTGGACAGGACAAGAAACGAAGACGTGACTGGACATGTGGGTTTACTGACCGTAGCTGATAGATGACACAGCCCTCAACCTAAGGGCTGTCCTTCCCAGAATCGGGGCAACTTTTGTTGCAGGTAGCACAGCAAACTTGGAAGGAAAGCATTACTGCTTCTGGGTTCAGGAGACTGGACCAGTGCAATTCACAGGTAGGGAGCAGGGATGGGACTGAGATGCTATGATGTGGGGTGAAGCTCCTTCCCTTCGGTGGTGATGTCATTACCCCATCCAGGCCAGGCTATATTTATAGCCCCCGAAACAAAGAGCAAACTGATCTGTGGATAGCACTTGGTTTATTCATTAGAAAAACAAAAACAGAAACCCAATGGGTTTTACATACAAAACAACCTTTTTGTTTTCAAGGGTTAGAAGCACTCTTTAAAATTTAAAGTGGGAACACAGATGACACAAGGCCGTTTCTCCCAGAAACACATGAACAAATATAATATGCACATGGAATTTATTATATACAGATCAAGATTGTTCAGGGGCAAGACCGAGCCACAGGGCCCTGTGCACATCACAAGGCAGACACAGAGGATGGTAGGGGCATCTGCATCTGGGCACGGAAGTGAATTGCAGTTAAGACCCAGGTGCATAAAGTAGAAAGCTTACCTCCATGTTAGGAAGTTAGAACACCAACAGAATCAGCCACAATGTAGAGCCACAGCAACCCAGGATACTAAGCTGCAGAACTCAGGGGTGACAGGGAGATGAATCACAACACAGACACAGTCCTCGCATTGGGGGTCCAGCACAACTTCGGCCCCCAGTTGTCACTGGCACCTCAGCACCAAGGCGGTACCACTCTAACTTCCAGGACCCCAGGCTGCTGCCTGCAGTCTGGCTGCAGCACTGGCCAGGCCCTTCTTTCTTGTGGGTAGAGGCAGGGTTGCAGAAAGCCATGCAGGTTGCTGGTGTTATCATTGGTCATATACAACTGGGCTTTGAGTCCTACAGGGCTGGTGTGGGAAGGGTTTGTCCCCAATGTTTCCAGGGCTGGGGTTCACCATCACAGGTGACTAAGGTGTTCAGGGACCAAGCCATCTCATGGCCTCACTACTCACCCATACATAGATTAGGAGCAGGACAGTCAAAACAAATACGTGGAATCGCCTTTTAGAGCCACAAATAAAAACAAACCTGTAGCTCCTGTATAAAGAGGTTTATACGGATGCTAGGATGGGCAAACAACTAGATACTGGATGATCTGGGCTCGGCTGAGCGGCAGAGCCAGCAGCCAGATTCCCACACTAGACAGGGGATGACTGGTCCGCTATCTGCTGGCTGTTGTGCTTTGAACTGTTTTCTAATTACAGGCCATGACTACAGGATACAGAGACAGCCACTGGCCAGGGACCAGAGTACTTCATGAAGCACCCTTGTCCTACTGGCATCCGGACACACCTCAGCTATATTAGCACTTCCGAGGTGGACAGCTGCTGCTGTCTCCAGGCCTGACTATTTGCACCAGCAAATGGCCCACAAATCCAGCCTCTGTCTCTGACCCTCACAGGGACAGTAAGAGCCAAATGTTTGCTCATCTACACACATGCATGGAGACCACAGAATATTGCAGCTAGGAACACCCTGCAAGACTGAATGACATTTTCAAAAAGTGTTTCTTACACTACTTTAAATAATTTACAAAAAAAACCCTACAAAAACCTTATGTACCAGGACACATACATTAAATAAAAACGTCATTTGAGGTTAGTGTACATATTTATACAGGGGGCTACACAGAACAGAAGGGACCTTCTTTTTGCTCTTTAATGGTCAGTATCCCCTACCCCAACCAACCTCATGTTGCCAACAAACATACACACACACACACACACACACACACACACACACACACACACAGATTCTCACAGCTATGGCAAGAGAACCAGGGCATGCCTGTCACAACTTGAGGCCTTTGCTGCTCACTGTGGTGCTGCCCCCATCTTCCACAGAGGTGTCACTGAATTCGCTGGCATCACTACCCAAGGCCTCCTGGTCCTGGTGTTCCCTGTCAACTCTGTGTCGGTATCTCAGGTCTAGGACATTGTCTTCAGAGCCAGAATTCCTCCTGTCCTGCTGTCTCAGGGTCCCCTGGGCCTTCAGGCTTGGCCAGTGTCCACTGTCCTTCATAAGCACGTGTGGGCTTCCAAACACAGGGCTGTGACCAGACTGGGTCTCCCTGAAGGCCGAGAATGCTGGACCCTGAAGGGGCAGGCCCAGGTTGGGGCTGAAGAGGCCAGCCTGTTTGCCTCCCCAGGAGACACTCTTCCCGAAGTGGAAGAGCTGGGTAGAGAGGAAAGGCAGGCCCTTCCTGGGGCCCGAGGAGAGGCTGGGTGAGCCCCCAGCCTGTGAGGTGGCCCCCTTTTCTTTCTCACCCCCAAAGACCCCTGTCCACAGTGTGCCTTGTCCGGAATTCAGTGCCCATGGGCTGGACAGCCTGTTCTGGTGTGCAAAGTCACTCCAGGGCAGGGTGAGGTCAGTCTGTGGTCCAGGATTGGGGGTCAGCAAGTTCTGACTGCCATAGTTCAGGTGAAATGTCCCCCCAGCACTTCCAGCCTCCGTACCCAGTTTGGCACAACTGGGCAGCTGACCGAAAACACTTTCTGCCATGGCAGTCTGGGTTCCCCGTGGGCTCTGGTCTTTGTGAATGCTGGCACTTTTCCTGCTTGGTGGAGACACTTTGACAGAGTTGTTCCTGCTGGTGTTCTTGGGAGGTGCTGGCTCGCTTCGACCCAGGGCAGTGGGAACACGAGCGGCCCGCTCAGCACGGGGAGTGCCCCTCCCAGTCTGGCTTAAGAGGCTCGCTGCCTGTGTCCGAGCTCTCTCTGGGCCTCTCCTTCCTTCGGCCAGCTGAGGGGCTCCCCTGGCTTTTTGGCTCCGTGTGCACACTCCTGGCTGCAGTGTTGGGGTTGGCTCTTTTCTGCAGGGCATCTCTTGCTTGGCAGGGCCTCCTTGAGATTCTGAGCTGCGGACAGACTCTTTGGCCTTTTCTGCCAAAAACCTTCTGATCTCCAGTTCGATGCTGTCATCACTGTCCACTGAGCTGTCCTCAGACAGGGGGCTGGAGGCAGAAGGGAGGTGGCCACTGGCTCCTGTGTCCTTAGAGGGAGGAGTCCCTTTTGGACTCTTCTTCCTGGGAGGCAAGACCAGGGCAGCATCCTCACCCCCTGTGCCAGCCAGCTTCGCCCTCTCGGCTATGCTGCTGAAGATGCTTATTGGGCTTCTTCCGGGGCCATCTTTGTTGTCCCCTCTGCACTTGGACAGACAGCTCCGTAGTGCCTGCTGCCCATGGTCCTTCCAGTCCCCAGGGAGGCTGCTCAGCTTCTCTCCACACCGAGTCTCTGTGGTGCCAAACCTGACCTTCTTACACGCAGCTCGGGGGTCTCGGCACCTCTTCTTGGACTTTCGCTTGGATCTTAACAAGTCCTTGATGGCCATGTCCAGGTCCTCATCGCTGTCCAGAGAGCTGCTCTTGTCCTCGGAGCTCTCTTTCTCACCAGCACCCTTCCCCTCGGCTGCTTTCCCGAGACCCCCATGGCCTTGTGACAGCTGTGCATCACTGAACCCAGCTGTCCTGGAAGGGACAGACTGGTCCTTGGCCTCAGTCTCCCCTCCCGGGGCCTCTGTGACTTTGCTCTGGCTGGGAGGGTCCCAACCGTCATGGCCAGGCTGGCCCTTCGCCTGGATGAGGTCACTGTCCTGGGCACTTTCTCTACCCTCCCTCATTTTCTTGGGCATGGTAGTGTTGCCTCCACCTCTCCGTTTCCGTTTGCAGCCCAGGGGAAGATCTGGTGTTTTAGCCTTGGGGATGCCAGTCTGGCCACTGGGGCCGGATGGGGACAGGGGGCCCTGGGCTGGCTGTGGACTCCCTACTTGTGCCTTGAGGGCCAAAAATGTCCGGATCTCCTGCTCTATGCTGTCGTCACTGTCAACGTTGCTGCTATCACCTTCAGAGCGGGGAGGGGCGGGTGGGGGACAGAAGAGTGGGTTCACGGATGGAGGCCGGTCACTGCCTTCCATGGGGACTGGCAGAATGGTCTTGGAAATGTCCAGGATTGCTTCTGCACACATCAGCTCGGTGGATGTGTCTGCTAGGCATTTTGAAGTCTGGTGCACAGCTTCACTCTTGGCGGCAGTGTGTCCTGGCGGTACAGAGGCTCTCGCATCCTTTAGGAGCTTGGAGAGGGGTTCAGGGTGGAGACCCCCCAGGGTGCTGTCTATAACCTTTGGGGCTGCTAGCTTTTTCTTGCTTGGGGGTCTCCTGTGGGCTTCAGGCAAGGCACTAGACTGAGCACTGCCAGGGCTCTCCTCTTTGAGCTGGGCTCTCAGAGGTGGCTCCCCACTGGCCTCATTCCTGGTCTTCTCTAGCTGGTACAACTGGATGGCCTCCTCGATGCCATCATCGCTGCTGGAGTCAGAGGCCTGGTGCACTGGGGCTGAGTTCCTGATGCGCTTGCTGCGCCTGGCAGGCATGCTCCTCCTCACTCCACCCCTGTTCTGCGCAGCCTCAGGTCTGTGGGCAGTTAGCCTTGTATTCACCGGGGTCTCAGGCTCTGTGGTGACCTTAGACCGGAAGTTTCTGGGCTGTGTGCTCATCTTTGTTAACCTGGGAGGTTTGCGGAAGATGAACTCCTTACAGGTTCCTATCAGAGCTGCCCTGGTTGAGGTCTCTCGGTTCCCTCTATGTCTGGCAGGGCTTCCGTTTGGGTCCGATTTTTTATCCAGAGGCCCATCACACTTTGGGTTTTCTTGCTGTCTTTTCTCATTAAGAAACTGTTCTATTTCAGCTTGGATGCTCTGTTCAAATGAGTCTTCGCTGCTCATGCTAGCTGGGGAGGTGGAGCCCTGGTCCTCACTGGCTCCCACAGGAACACTACCTGAGCCAGGAATGATTTGTGAGGGGTATGGGATCGGTAGGGTACAGCTGTGGGAAGGCTCTGGGACACAGGGGGCTCCTCGGGACATAGGCTCAGAAGTCCCACCCTTTGCCTTCAGGTACTCTTGGATAGCCTCCTCGATGTCCCGGTCCACGGAGTCATCACTGTCAGAGTCCAGCTCCAAGGGACCCTGTCTCCCAGCTTCATCTTTCTCTAGGGGTTTGCAGTCTGCAACAAGACCACAGGCAGGGAACTCTGACTGCTCTTTGCACACAGCAGGTCTGGGGGCCAGTCTGGTGTCCCGGCACCTCTCTGCACGTTGGCCTCTCTGTGGGACACGCTCATGGCTCATGCCCAGGGCAGCCTTGTCTCTCTGCAGCGTGCTGATGAGCATCTGTACCCTGGCGCTCACTGAGGCCCTGGAGGTATCCTCTTTAGACTCTGAGAAGCAGTCAGGAAAGCAGAAGCTCCTGGGTTGGCCAAAGGCCTCCCATCTGGACTGGAGCGCCACCACTGGAGGGGCGTTCATGAGGAACATCCTAGCAGGCAGGCTGGGTGCTGGGAGGCAGGGCTTACGGGTCAGCCCATTTCACATCCTGGGAGCAAAGAAAGCATAGTGAAGGCTATAGCTAAGTGGTTAACAGCAGCACACACCCACACCACCATAGGAGATAACACACCTGGGGCTACAACCTCATGTCTCGTTGGCTGGGGAGGCTCATACAAGCCACCCAGACCTTAGTTTCGCCAGCAGTACTAGGAGTTGTAGCATAATTAATAAAAACCCAGGGACAAACATTGGGATTCAATCTGAAGGTCAAAAAGCAAAACAGCCCACCACTAGCTCTGACCTCAGTCTGAAATGGGGATCCTGCCTCCAAGAATCCTCAGAACGGGACTGTTTGAGAGCTGTTTCCTTCCATCTTATATTCCCCTCTAGGGTTGGGATTAAAGGCATGCGTCACTACCACCCAGGCTTCTATGGCAAACCAGTGTGGCTACTGGGATTAAAGGTGTGTGTCACCACTGCCTGGTCTGTAAGACTGACCAGTGGGGCTGTTGACTCTCTGATATTCAGGTAAGCTTCATTTATTAAAATACAAATGAAATATCTCTACAAGGAATCACTTCCATCCTTGTAGGTGGAAGACTCAGGAAAAAGAAAATGCTTGCAAATTCCTGCAGCTCTTTCCTCTCCTTTCCTTTTCTGCAAGAGGACGAAAGAGGTGCCGTTTCCCTCCCAGTGTTATCAGAAGCCACAGCAGTCTATAAATGCCCCTCTGTACTTTAAAAAGAAGGGCTAACCACATGCCCAGAGAAGTTGGACGTCATGGCTAGATTCTTTCTGGAAATGACCAATGTGCTCTTTAACCAACGCTGAGCCTTGTGAAGAACTCAAAGAGCACTTTCTCAGGCTTCTTTTTTCAGAGTTGCCTTCACTACATTGCTGTGTGTGATCATTTTCATAGGTCGACATCAAGTTTTGCTAATTAGCATGAAAGCTGTTCCAGCTTTCTGGTGGTCACAACTAATTGGTGGCCACATCACATGGATGGATCTGGGTCTAGTAGTAGGCCACATCTTTTTGGAGAAAAGGACCGTGTGGCACGTGACCAGATCATGGGTTTATCAGCTCGGATGAGGAGAATGCTGGAAAATAAAGCGACACAAGCCAGGTGTCCACACGTTAGCTAGCCTGGTGTCAAGAACACCAAAGACAAGTTTGCAGAATCACTGCAGAGGAGGCACATGCAGAGGCACAGGGTCATCTGGGAAAATACCAGCTGCTCTGCATAGCTCTTGACTCTTCCTGGCTCCTCTGATCACCTTCTGCCTAGGCGGAGGGACAGAGACCTGAGCTCCCCTGAGGGAAGGCACAGAAGGTTGTCCCACCCCTAACCCAGGGTGGGATGGTAGGCCTGGCTTGTTGTTGGCCTCGCTCTGTGTTCTGTCCTCTACCATCTGTGTCATAGGGCAAGCCTTTCTGACAGGCCAAGATGTGCTGCATACAGACTGAACTCCCTTCTCAGACGGGTAAGGCTGCCATCTAGACCAAAATCTGCTCAGGGGGACAGGCAACTAATGAGAGGTCACTGCAAATGCAACTCATGGGTGACTACCAATGTGTGCTTCAAAGGTTACACTAACACATAAAACCTATTGCAGTTACTTGAAATGCTCAAGCGTAGCCTGATGTTCCACAGGACTTCAGGGATAAGGTCGCCACTGCTCCTCTTACACCTCAGAGTATCTCCCACCAGCTCTTAAAGTCGGCTCTGAGGGCTGGGCATGTAGTGAGTACTTTTAATCCCAGCACTGGGGAGGCTGAGGTAAGTGGATCTCTGAGTTCCAGGCCAGCTTGGTCTACACATAGTGAGGTCCTGGCCTTCCAGGGCTATATAGTGAGACCAAGCTGTATAAATAAATAAATGAATGAACAAATAAGTAAACAAACATCAGCTTTATGACTGGAATTATAGAGAATCAGTGACACCTAGTTTTGAAATCGGTGATATCTTAAAGACGTTTTTGTCATGTCATTTTTATGTGTGAGTGTGAGTGTGTGTGTGTGTGTGTGTGTGTGTGTGTGTATTGGGGGAGGTTTTGAGACAGGATTTCTCTGTGTAACAGCCCTAGCTGTCCTGGAACTCACTCTGTAGACCAGGCTGGCCTTGAACTCACAGAAGTCCTGCCTGCCTCTGCCTCCGAGTGCTGGGGTTAAAGGCATGCGCCATATCGCCCAGCTAAGATGTGTTGTTAACGTAAAACAAACTCAGGAAAGCTTGCCTGTTCACATTTATTGTAGCTAGTTTACCACTGCTCTGGTTGACAGCCACAGGGTGGGGAGTGCTTTACCATACTAGCCACCAGAGCTCACATCCTGGCCATCTACCACAGCCCTACTCTCCAACAACACTGCCTCCCCAACACCCCACAGGCACAGGGCAATGGGAGCTAATGGAGAAAGTGGCTTCTTTCAGCGGCTAGGGGACCAACACCTTTCCTGGCTGCAGGCGTTGTTGAAGCTCCCAAAGCAGTGCAGCAGAAATCACAAACAGGTGCACAGCTCAACTGCGGAGGCTCTGAATCAGCAGGGCGTGGTGGTACGTGCCTGGAATTCCAGGTGAAGGCTGGGGGACCAGGAGTCCACTGTCTCCTTATCTACTTCAAAGACGTCAGCTGGGCTACTGAGATCCTGTCTCAACAGACTGAGAACAAAAGGTGCATGGGGTGGAGTGTGTGTGTGTGTGTGTGTGTGTGTGTGTGTGTTGGGGGTCTTAACAAGAGGGCAACCATTACACCAGGTGCAGAGCCGGGGAGATAGATGATTTTATCTCCACTCACCTGTTCACAGCTCATAACGATGGACCCAGAGCTGGGCTTCTCCAACAGTCTTAATGGTTGTTGGTCCAACTACTTGGACTACGTCCATCTTGGGAGCTGTCATTCTGGAGAACCATGAACTGTAGAGAGTTAGAAATGTGAGTGAAGCCAGGGTTGGGGCTTTAAACTGGAGTCTCTGGGAACCAGCTTTCCAGGGTGGCTGTGGGTACAATCAGCCCTTGCACCCCAGCCTGGCCTCTGAACTTAAGTTATGGTGCAGAGGGCCCTGCACGCGCCAACTTGAAGTGGGTGTGGGTAAGATTTGTTCCTTAGGAGCCAGAGGAGCTGACATGATTCGGTCCCCTGTAAAACTGTTGTGTCTGCCATCCCCTGAACGGAGACAGACTCCTACAGCACTGACTGCTCATCTCGCTGCCTGAGAGGCAGCTGGAGCAGCAGTCTGGTCTTAAGCAGGTTAATGCCAACCCTTCTCCAGGCAGAGGCAGGGCCTCCGGCTGGTCTGTACCCCAACCTATCCATCCCCCGAAGTCATTTTCTGAGATCCCAGGTTTAGGAAATCCGAGGGTCTTGAAACTGCCCGTGGCAAGGCATGAAGGCAGCGGTGAAGGCCAGGCAGGCCGCGGTGACCCGGAGCCCGCCCCTCACCTGAGCCTCACCTGGGCCCGACCTGCACCCGCTGACTCTCGAGGAACGCAGGGCGCAACAAGCGCCAGGCACGCACGGGAGGTGTCTCCCGGGGGCCGCGACCCTGGCCCATGGCAGCGACCAGCCCCAGCCACTGACCCGATCCGGAGCCCGCCCGCCGCGGCCTGCACGGCG